TTTGCTTCTTAATCCATTCACTTAGCCTGTGTCTTTTGACTGGGGAATACATTCCATTGATATTTAAGGTTTTTATTGAAAGGTGTGTATTGGTTGCCGTCATTTTGATTGCTGTTTGTATTCTCTGTCTAATTTTGTATTTCCTAGATTATATCTTTATTTTCTTTCGTTGCCCCTGGGGTCTAGTTGTTTCTTTCTCTGCTCTCTGTATTGCTTCAAGTATTCTTTGAAGGACTGGTTTTGTGGACATGTATTCTTTCAGGCTATTCATGTCATGGAAGCTATTTCTTTCCCCCTCAACTATTATAGACATTTTTGCTGGGTATAGTATTCTGGGCTGGCATCTATTGTCATATAGAACTGGAAATACCACATCTCTTGCATATTCCATTCCTGTGGTTTTTACATTGTTTTTTTTTTTTTTTTTGTCTTTTTTGAGATAGGGTCTCCCTGTAGCCCCAGCTGTCCTGGAACTCACCATGTAGACTAGGCGTCCTTGAACTCACAGAGATCTCCCTCAAGACTGACATCTCTTTGCTTGAAGTATTATTCTTCCACTTCTATAAATCTCATAAGAATACAACAGACCTGGGCATGGTAGCACATGCCTTTAATCCCAGCACTTGTGAGTTCAAGGCCTGCCTGGTCTACAGAGCTAGTTCTAGGACAGCTGGGGCTACATGGATACCCTGTCTCAAAAAGACAAAAAAAAAAATAAAAAAGAATACAACAGACTTTTCCATGTATTTCAGGAGTAAGAGTTCACTTCTCATCTCACATGTCTTTGTGGGTCAGGCTGTTCTGAGTGCACCTTTGACTCTATTGTCCACTAACCATATCCAAGCTGGGCAGGGCTTTGGCAGTTACGTGTCACCACTTAATTTTGCCACCCCCACATCCAGTTCCCTGTGGTGTTATATTGTCTTCCCATCCAAAGGCAGTGGTTCATACTGTTAGTTTTAGACTGTAGAGAAGAATAATCATGGGGCTGGGAGATGGCTCAGGAGGTAAGAGCACTTTCTGCTCTTCTAGGGGACCCAGGTTCAGTTCCCAGTGTCAGTGTACGATATAAGTGTGCAGTGCCCTTGCAGGCCAGAGGAGGTCATCAGATTCTCTGGAGCTGGAGTTATAGGCTGTTGGGAGCTACCATACATGGGTACTGGCAACTCAACTTGGGTCCTCTTGGGTAGAACAGCAAGTACTCTTAACTACTCAGCAGTCTCTCCAGCCCTTCAGAAGTCAATCTTGAACAGAGTCAATCCTGACTTCAGGGCAGCTGCCTCAGTGGAGGCACTATCTTCTCCCCATATTTTGAGAACTAAGAAGCCGTGGAAGGCAGTTGATCGGCCTCCTTCTCTCACATATTAGATCTCGGGCTCCATCCCTCACATTCCATTTGATTCAAAAGTGACTTCTCAGGGCTGGAGAGTTGGCTCAGTGGTTAAGAGCACTGACTGCTCTTGCAGAGGACCCGGGTTCGAGTCCCAGCACCCACATCTTGGCTACAAACCATCCATAACTCCAGTTCCAGGGGAATCCAAAGCCCTCTTCTGACCTCCATGGCATTGCATGACATGGGTGCACTCACATACATGCAGGCAATACACCCATACACATAAAATAAAAATAATAAAATATTTTTGAAAAGGTGACTTCTCTCCTGCTAGTTTCTCCCTCTCCCGAGGGGTGTTTTAGTAACAACTTTTAATATCATTCAGTACTTTGTCTAGTCCTAAATGTTTTTCAGAGCTAGTCTCCAGTCCCCTTGCAGACACTGTCACAGTGCTCACAGGTGACTTGATAATCACTTGCCAGTGGTCAGGTAAAATCATGGATTCCCAACCTTTTATCTGAGGCAGTGTGGCTCTTCCACACACTTCACACTTGCTCTTTCTGCAGTCCTAGGAGCAAATCTAAACTGCATAAGTAGCTCTTGGCTTCAGGTAAGTGTCAGATTCTGGGGAAGTATTTATCTCTGGAAATCCAAGGTTAGCTATTCTCAAAATAAACTTGGCTCTTTGGGATTAGAAAAATGCCTTAGGTAAGAGATGATAGATAGGCACGTATGTAGGCAGAGAGGTAAGCAGATAGATAGCAGGTGATAAACATCAGTTGCAAGAAATGAATAGAGAGGCTGATGGCTCAATAGTTAGGAGCACTGGCTGCTCTTAAAACCCAAACAAAATGACATCAGCCTGCCTGTGCTGGGATTACAGGCATGAGTCACCATGCCCAGCCAGTATCTTTCTTTTGATATTATAATACAGTCTTGAAAAATGTTACCATGGGGGCCAGCAAGATGTATCTGTGGGTCACACGGTGGGTCACAAGATATGACATGGTAACTAATAACTACCTGTAACTCCAGTTCCAGGGGATCTGATGCCCTTTTCTGACCTTTGAGGGCACTGCACAACAGAGGTGCACTTACATACATGCAGGCATAATACTCATACACATAAATAAAAAAGAAATGAATATGAACAGATCGCAGATAAACGTTGCTAATTTCTTCCATGGCAACTTTTAAAATTACATTTATGGCCGGGCGTGGTGGTGCACGTCTTTAAGCCCAGCACTTAGGAGGCAGAGGCAGGTGGATCTCTGTGAGTTCGAGGCCAGCCTGGTCTACATAGTGATTTCCAGGACAGCTGGGGCTACAAGGAGACCCTGTCTCAAAAAGACAAAAAAAAATTACATTTATGTACTTGTTTGTTTGTGTATGTGTGTGCATTCCACATGCATGCTCACAAGCCATGGCATGTGGAGGACAGAAGACAACTTGTAGGAGTCTGTTCTTTCCTTCCTCCATTTCACGTAGGTTCTGGGAATTGAACTCAAGTTGTCAGTCTAATCTGCAAACACCTTGACCTATTGAGACATCTTGCTGATCACCTCCAAGGTAACATTTTTCAAGATTATTATAATATCAAAAGGAAGCTACTGGCTGGGTGTGGTGGCTCAGGCCTTTAATCCCAGCACAGGCAGGCAGATCTCTGTGAGTTCAAGAACAGCCTGGTCTAAAAGGTGAGTTCCAGGTCAGCTGTGACTACAGGGAGACGCTGTGTCAAAAAGACAGAAAAGAAAAAAAAGGAAGCTACTGACAATGATGCTGTCCCCTGATCTTGTTTTGTTTTGTTTTAGTTTTGGCACACAGATTCACTATGTAGCCCTGGTCTGCCTGGAACGAGCTATGTAGACCAGGCTTGGCTCAAACTCATGGAGATCTACATGTCTCTGCCTTCCAAGTGCTCCTTACTGCCCAAAGTGAAAAAATACAAGCTTGGATAAGCAGAGTATTGTGTGTAATTATGCTTAGATATTAATTTCTGCTCTTTTTTTTTAACTGATTCATCTGACCAGTTAAAACCAATACCTTCTAGATGTTGATGTAATGGATGGTGGGAAATTGAAGTTGGGAATTATCTTCCTCACTCAGACTGGAGTTAGAGTCCTTGGAAATTGCTCTCTCCTTTGTTTTTACAGCTTCTCTTTGCTTACCAGACAGAAGTTGAGATCCACAGACCTAATTCTCAACCAGCGGGCCTTTGCCAACTCATTGGTCCTTTTCCCCAAAGGGATACCTCAAACAATAGTGGCCTTCTGATGGAAGTATTTCCTAGATGATGGTGGATGTAAACTTGTCTTTTATTATTACAGAGTGGGCACTGGGGTTTCCTTCAGCCCTATTTGCCTCCTCAATGGATTCCAGGCAATTAAGCTCAACCCGAGTATTTGTAGATGGGTGGAGCTCAAAGTTAGATCCCCAACGTCCATTGGCTTCTGCTGTTTCCTGTGCTGGATCCCTCATCTGCTGATAAATTCATTTATTGCTGTATTGGTGAGTGTACCATCAAATAAAAACTTGAGTGTGAGAAATAGTTACGGATACTGTTCCTGCACACTACAAGAGAAATATAGCTCATTATATGCAGCCTTCTATTTTTCTCCTGACTTGATGAGTCTCATCTTCATGGTCTGGGCCAGTGGCTCCACAGTCCTTGTCTTGTACAGACACAAGCAGAGAGTTCAACATATTCACAACCACAGAGGCTGCCTCAGACAGTCCCATGAGGCCAGAGCCACTGGGACCATCCTGGTCCCGCTGGGTGCATTTGTTGTTTTCTATTCAGTCTATACTGTTTTGACTAGTTGGATGACTCTAGTTACAAAGCCAGGCTGGTGGGTGGTGAACAGCTCTGTGTTTGTGGCCTTGAGCTTCCCAGCATTCAGCCCTTTTGTTCTCATCCTCAGTGACACAGGAGTCTTCCAGTTCTGCTTTACCTGCAGAGCAAGGAAAACAGCACTTCTTTTTTAAATTTTTTCTTTTATGTGTATGCGTGTATTGCCTGCATGTAGGTAAGTGCGCCTGTGTCGTGCAATGCCTGCGAAGGACAGAAGAGGTTGTCAGATAGATCTCCTGGAACTGGAGTTATGGACAGTTGTTAGCTGCCATGTAGATTCAAACCCAGGTCTTCTGCAAGAACAACCAGTGTTCTTAACCGCTGAGCCATCTCTCCAGGCCCCGGAAAATAGCACTTCTTAATCTGTGTGTAGTGATATGAGTTGGACACTCTTGGTCATTCATTTCACTGTATTATTAGTATTGTGTGTGCAATGTGTATGGGTGCACATGCCACGGCACACATGTGGAGTCCAGAGGACAGCTCTGTGGAGTCGCTTCTCCCCTTCTACCTTTACGTGGGTTCCAGGAATTGAACTCGGGTCACTGGGCTTCCTTAGCAAGCACCTAAGCCATCTCACCAGCCCTTGGTGATGCATTTCAATGTCTGTGAACATTTATTAGAGTGTTAGAAACTGCAATGTCATGGTAACTAAAGTCAATAATGTTCCTACCCATTGGGAGCCATTATGTACATAATTTTACAAAGATGATCCAATGAAAGAGCGAACTGGATTTCAGAGACATTTGAGTTTGAAATAATGTGACCACAAGGACAGTCTACGTTTAGGGAATTATGGGGACTCTCTCTGTTATGAAGATACATGGGAGAATTTTAAAATATTTATTATCTTTATTTATGTTTATGCAGATATACCCAGCTGAGTTTATGGACACTACATGTGTGTAGATGTCTGTAGAGGTCAGAAGAGTTAGTCAGGTTCCCTGGAAATGGAGTTACAGGTAGTTGTAAGCCACCTGATGTGGATATTGGGAATCAAATCTGGGCCCACTGCAAGAGTAGTAAGAGCCTCTAACCACTGAATCACCTCTCCAGCCCCAGGAGATTCTTTTCGAAGGAAGACAACAGGCCAAATAGAAAATGGAGCAGAAAGAGGAAAACTTGATGTCAAAAATTCATGATATAGTGTGGGGCTGGGGAGGTGGCTCAGCGGTTAAGAACACTGGCTGTTCTTGCAGAACACCCAGGTTCGAATCCCAGCACTCACATGGCAGCTAACAATGGTCTGTAATGTCTGTAACTCCAGTCCCAGGGGATCCGACAGCCTCTTCTGACTTCCATGGGCATTGCACAACACGGGTGCACTTACCTACATGCAGGCAATACATGCCTAAAATAAAAATAATAAATTTATAAAAATTGTGATATAGTCAAAGTGGGCAATGAAGTTGATACTGGAACAGGACCTAATGAAAAGATATCCCGGGGTTTAACATATATGACAGAATGCATGAAATCCTGTGCGTGGGCTATGGGGGGGTGCAGATAAAGCAGGGGTATAAATATAATCGAGATATATTGTATGAAATCCACAAAAATGCAATAAAAATATACATTGAAAAAAGACAGACACCAGCAGCCACAGAATGCTTTCTGGCAGAACTTCAGGCTACCTCTAGCCCAAAGATATAAGCAAGTCTTTGAATACTTTCTTTAGTCTCTCTCCCACATTGAATAAATAGTTCAGGCACAGTTATCAGAGCATTGCTTAAGAGTAGAACATCTCCTACAGCTGAATCTATAGGTTTAAAATGCCTTTAATCCCAGCACTTGGGAGGCAGACGCAGGAGGATCTCTTGTGAGTTCAAGGCCAGCCTGGTCTACATAGTGAGTGCCCGGCCAGCTGGGGCTACAGGGAGACCCTGTCTCAAAAAGACAAAACAAAAGGATACTCTCCTATTCTTCTCTTGCTCTCCAGTACAGTCTTCAAAACAACTGTAATACTTAGCAAGGATTTAGAGCATTCAGGTATGAGTTAAAAGCAAAAGCAACAAGAAAAAGCTAAATAATTCCTTAGGCCCAAACCCTTCATCTCTGTTCATCAGAAGGCACATTCTTTCCTGCCTGGTCTATGTGCCACTTACATTGTAAATTATTTCAGAACACAGAAAACAGAAAAAGCAATCTGTGCTGGGCTTGGTGGCACACGCCTTTAGTCCCTCTCTACTTGGGAGGCAGAGGCAGGCAGATCTCTGTGAGTTCAAGGCCAGCCTGGTCTATATAGTGAATTCCAGGCCAACTGGGGCTACAGAGAGACCCTGTCTCAAAAAGACAAAAAAAAAAACCTTCTCTCTCTCTCTCTCTCCCTTTTATGTATGTTTTGTTGCATGTATGTAAGTATACCATGTGTATGAATGCCTGCAGAGACCAGAAGAGGGCATTGTATCCCCTGGAACTGAAGTTAAGAATGGGTGTTAGCTGCCATGTGGGTGCTGGGAACCAAACCCAAGTCCTCTGGAAGAGCAACTAGAAGTTCCCTGAGACAAATGTCTCACCCTAGCCCCACTGTTAACAGTTAGCCACATCCCTATCTCAGGCCTGATGGAGTGCTGCAGTTGAAGCCAGACAACCCACCTCTCCTGACAGGATGTCTCTCTGTTACCCATGCTCCACCATTACCAAACTAGCCACAGCTGAGCTAAACAGTGTCTTGTTCTGCAACTCCAGGAAAAGGGCTCAGACACCTAGACCCAGATTTCACAGCTCTGTGTGTGTGCCTTCTTCATTCTCTAGCCACATATAATTCAGCAATACTCCCTCACACCTTTGTACAGCCTGATTGTCCTCAGAGAAACTGTGTCACTTCCACTGAATAAATCCTCTGTTCAGTCTGCTAAAGGTCTGGCTCTGGTTTTTTAAAATATTTTATTTTTGCTGGGTGTGGTGGCATACACCTTTAATCCCAGCACTCGGGAGGCAGAGGCAGGTGGATCTCTGTGAGTTCAAGGCCAGCCTGGTCTATATAGTGAGTGCCAGGCCAGCTGGGGCTACAGAGAGACCTATCTAAAAAAAGACCAAAAAAATTTTTTTTTAAATTTCTATTTTATGCATGAGTATACTGTCTGCATGTATGTAACTGTACCCGTGTCATGCAATGCCCGAGGAGGTCAGAAGAGGGCATCAGATCCCCTGGAACTGGAGTTAGGATGGTTAGCTGCCATGTGGGTTTTGGGAATCAAACCCTGGTCATCTACAAGAGCAGTCAGTGCTCTTAACCACTGAGCCAACTGTCCAGCCCATGGCTCTGGTTTTTTACCTAAACTTTATTCTTTTTCTGTCCTTCTAAATCTAACAACATAGTCATCAGAATGGCTAACATGAATAGTTCACAACTTACAACAGTGTCACAGAGGGTACGAAGAACTGAGGAAACATAAAACATACAACTATTTGTTGTTTGACACTGTTTCTGGGGAGACATGAACAAACATCTCCTCACCCCATTAGGACCCCACCACAGACCAAAGTAAAGAAACCACCAAAGTCCAACTAGGTGAACAAAAGGGTTTTATTGCAATGGGTTTTACTGGTGTTACTTACAAGAGCAGAAATGACTCAAAGACAGTTGCATCACCAGAAGCCCACTTCAACAAGGATGAGGGCTCACGAAAGCTGGAGACCCAGTGCGCACTGCACAACCTGTAGGCAACTCAAGATTGCAGTGTGGTCTTTCCAGGTAGCTCAGTTGGTCTGAATTTCCAGGCAGGTCAGCTGGTCTCTGGTTCTTCCAGAGAGCTTGGCTGGTCTGAGTCTCTTCTAGGCAAGCTCAGCTCGTCCGAGAAAGTCTCTCACCAGTCCTTAGGGCTTATACATGCTTGGGGAAGGAAGGTGTAGTGAATCTGGTCAGTTTTAGGGACTTTTCGAAGGTACTGAGTTGTTTACTTTCTGAGTTTTATGAGTTTCCCTGTGGGTTGGAATGTTTCATTCACCCTTAAAACATCCTGCTGTCTGCCTGGAGTGGTGACACATGCTTTTAATACCAATACTTGGGAGGCAGAGGCAGGAGGATCTCTGAGAGACCAAGGCCAGCCTGGTCTACAATAGTGAGTTCCACGCCACTGGGGCTGCAGGGAGACCCTGTCTCAAAGAAAAAGAAAACCATCCTGCTGTTTACCCAGATTCCCTCCATCCTTGGGGAAATTGCCATACAACACCATTAGAACAGAATCTGGTACCTTTAGGCTGCACACCAACATGAGAGCAGGAGCTGGTCCTCAGCAAATCCCGTGAAACTTACGAACACAAGAGAAAATCTGAAAACGGTCCTGAAGACTACATAGCAAATAAACATTTCTTCAGGGAAATGTAACAGTCAGTAAGAATGCATCAGTCTCATGTAATCCCAAATCACTTTGCTCCTCCTTCATCCAAACTCAGCAACACGAAACTCTACTCCAGATTGGTATACTCAACAAAGGGCAAGCCAGGCATGGTAGTTTATGCCTCTAATCCCAGCACTTGGGAGGCAGAGGCAGATGGATCTCTGTGAGTTTGAGGCCAGCCTAGTCCACATAGTGAGTTCCAGGTCAGCTGGGGATACAGGGAGACCATGTCTCAAAAAGACCAAAAA